GTGAAAACAGGGTCTGATCTTCCTGCAGATAAGGCAAAGTACCTGGTTAAGTACAGCACCAGTTCCAATGTAACAACTAGGGAATAAGTCTGCAACCTATGCCCAGCTGCCACATGTCTATTAATGAAGGCATGCTTACCCAGCAGTGGAAATCCATAGTAAAACTGTAGGAGAAGCTCTTCTGCTGTGCTTTGACTTTTTCCCCCATTTTCCAAAGCATTTTAGGATGCATTCTTAGGATTTTCTTGCCAGTTTGTTCTCAGTTTTCAGCATTTTTCAATGCTGAGAAAGCATAATACTTAAAGGTCACTAAATACCACTGTTTTCTATATCTCATCCATTCTGCTAATGGGGTTATGTCCATAGACTTGCATTAACTTTCAAACAGCAACCAAATACTGACAATCATTATAGGTTTGGGTAAGATGTAGAATTGGGATCTGAATGTAAAGCAGTGATAACCAAAGTTGAAGCTGCTCACATTTACTTCAAGTGAGTATTTCACAATACTTTCATACTGAAATGAAAGGAAGCTTTTATATTTACTGCTACAGGAAGAACATTAAGTTGGAAGCCTCTCCTCTTGCGGTACAAGAATCCATTTCAGGTTTCTGAACTATTCCAGTTATTTATATTATCACATCTAGTACAAGTTTGCTGAAAGATAATCCTGAAGTTCTCATTATCTGAGCAGTGCAGAGCCCAGGTATTCCAATACATTATTAAACCATGCTTTGACAGCTTCCAGTTTTTGACAACCCTGAGTGTGTGCACAGGAAAGTAGTTAAAAATTTCAGGACCTTAAATGTTCTTGCTTAAATTTGTCCAGTGCAGCAGTTACTGCCCACCTCTATGGAACTTTAAAAGCATGCATAGAGACTTCTGTATCATCATGTTAGTTTATGACTCTACTATAAAACAAAGCCATTTAGAAATAGTGTACGATAGACACATATGATGTTACCCGTGACAATGTGTCATCTAAATCATCCATTTTTATGGCTCAAATTTCCTGGCCATCTCTTGCTTACACCTAATGTCCCACTATCTAGTTCACCAAAGACCCCAACATTAGAACATGACAAATACTTGACAACAGAAATTTAAAATGCTGAGGTTTAACACATCTTAGTGAGCAAAATGTATTTCAAAGCTCCGTTTAGAAATACTGATGACTTTTAAGGGTTGTAGCAATCCTGCACACTGCAACTGTGCCATTTAATGTTTTGCAAATTTCACCACAGAGTTCATTCTTAAAATCAATTTGCATTTTGACACACATATTGTTGCGATACATCTAAGATTACAATATACAATTAATGGAATATGCTTATAGCAGTGTCTGAAATGATCACGCAGCATAAGTGAAGCTGCAGATGGAGTGCAGCTATTTTCAGCTACTGCAAAATATGGACAATCTCTCCTGCTACTACAATTTCATGCACAGTTAGCTTCACCTCCATTTCATCCTTCTACATTTTACACACCAGCAGTACTCTGCATCTGACAGACTGAGGCTTAAAACTTGCAGCTGTCTGAAGCAATACTGTTTAAGCCAGCTTCCGAATTAGTCTGAAAGTGAATACAAAAATCTCTAGAGGAGGAGCAAGTAACCAAACTTATTCTTCCATTTTGCCCACACTACAATTCTGAAGCAATTGAAATGTTCACTGGCCTGGCGTCAGCAGAAGTTCAGAGCAAGACAAATCCTGGGTAACAAGAGCACCTCACAGCTATTTTCCACAATATCAATTCACAGAACACTGGACCAATAACAAGATGAGGATTAACAGACATCTGTCAAGGGTGTGAAACAGTTGAAATCTGTAAACATCTCATTTGAGGCTGCACTGATGCTATGGCACAAGGTATTTTTAGGACTGGGTGTATTTCACAGTTCATCTGTGAAAAGTAGAAATGATATTTTAAATTCTCATTTCAAACTCATAGCTTATAGCAAGTCATGCTATAAACTAACTCTGGCTTTTTCTATTTCTAACACTTTCCACATACAATGAGAATTAATTTACAATCCTGAAGACTGTCCTGGAATTCTAATAGTTAGCAAGTCTGCCTGTAGCACAGACTACCAACATGCTGTGTCACGTGATGGGAACAAATACCTATGCACATAAGAAACAAGCTAGGTCCACTGGAATCATGGTTCAGAAAGACAGAAAAAAGATCCCTGTACTTTGAGGATGTTCCAGCATGTAGTTACAGCATTAGCTGTAACCCACAGCACCACTGCTCTGGATCTCAGCAACATCTAAGGTTTATGATCTGCAAGTCAGACATCTTACAACTAAATACAGGTTTTAAAAGAAAGACTAAAAAAATCCCTCAAGCAAGAAGGCTTGAGGAAAAGCCTAACCCCTAACAACCAACTTTAAAGATGTTTAACATCCATTCATTCTCAACTATCACATTTTCATTAGCAATAAGATTTCAATGGCAACCTGAAAAAAAAACCAAACCTAAGGAAAGGTAAAAAAATAGCAAAAAACAGCATTCAGTTTTTCTATTTTCCATGTATAGCATGAGAAAACTACTTTAGCAAGAAGCTACTATAAATTATATTGGTAATTTTTATGCAAGAATAAAATCTTAAGCTCAACTGCAGATAGCCTGCAACCAGCACAATGTTAAAACACAAGTCAATCCCAAATGTGAGGATTCTGAATACAGTCTGGTAAGATAATATTTGTGGTCATTTCTCCCAACACCAGTTTTCTACTCCATAGTCTTCAAGGGAAGTTACTCAGTACAAGTTCAAATAACCAAAACCAACCCCAATCAGCAAATCCCTTCTGAAGCAGCATTCAAAAGAAAACTAGAAATGATGCTATAATTTAGTACTCAACCGTATAACCATCACATTAGAACAGTCCACTATTTCTACTCACATACAGTATGGAAAGCTGGCATTCAAGCCAAGATGTGAAAATGCATGAAAACAGTACCACAATCACTCCTAGCACTCAAGCTGATACTTAACATGCTGGCTTCTAATCTCAAGTATCATTTGTATTAAATGTCTTCAAAAATGTCACAGAAATAAGAGCAGATAAGTAATGATCAAGATGCACATGGAACTGTGCTATAGCAGCAGATTACTTATATTTACTGAAAAGCACAAGCAGAAAATGAAACTGGGTAGGCCAACACAAAGAGACTAAAACCCCCAAAACTTATACAATCTCGTGGTTCCTATGAATATACAACAAATTCTGGTTCATTGTGAAGGGATTTATCAAACAATCTTGAAACCACATCCAGCCCTATACTATTTGTTCTACTGCATTCAGCCTGACTAAAACAGAAAAGTTCTGAGACTAAAAATATGCTACAAAATGGCATTTGAATAGTCTTACACAAAAAGTGTGATTACTCACACAATGAAACCTTGTTCTGATTGAGGATCATCAGTGTCAGTATCTTTTGATTTAGATTTTGTTGTTTGATCCAACTTTCACGAATGTAATGTTTACAACACAGAGTTATACCCTTGAGTGAATTACTGATAAATTGAAAAAGATTTTCTTTTTCCCCTCAGGTTACGTGACAGAAATGCAATACAACTCCTCTAGTTTATTTTCCCAACAAATGACAACAGAAATTATCCTGCTCCACAAAGTCTTGTGCTACATCTTATGCACACTGACGTAAAACTGTAAAAATATCACCCGAACAAATAAAAGCATCCACTCCTCACAAGAGGACAAGAAGCCTTGCTGCTGCCACCAGAACTGTCACAAGTTGTGGTGCACAGACACAGCACAGCTGGAGACCCTTCCCTGGTTTTTAATTCCCTTTTATTACATTTCATCAGATTTTATTCTGAAACTTTTCAGCTTTTGCGTGTATGCATATGTATACATATGTACATACATACATATATACTGGAGCATTTTCCAGAGACCAACTTTCCTTTCCAAGATTCATATATCTAGCAAAGGAAAAGTCATAGATACCAAATCCCATAAAGACTGTACTGAAATATTACTGCAAGCATTCTTTTGTCAATATATGAAACAGCACAGTTTCATATATTAAGACTGCCTCTTAACAGTCTCTTAATATTAATGCACTGATTATTTATTCTCTGCAAGCCTCAAACACTTGCTTCTTGATATTTATTTCATCTAACACTAATCAGTGATTATGTTCAAAATTATAAGCAGACTTTATTAAATATTATGTTGAATTAATTGATGGGAGAAACCTGTTAGATTTCCTCATTCATTTCTTGTTGTCAATTATTTAACTACCTCTTAGCCGTTACAAATTTCAGCATCTCTTCTTCCTGAAATCTCTACTTTCCTGATAATTGACTGGTCTTCAATGTATTCTGGAATAATCTTAAATTACAACACATTTGAAAGCATGTATTCTTTTCAAGAGTTCTGTAAAACTTCTTGATCTACCTTAATCCGGATATATATTTATTTACTACAGATAAGGGAAAGGTTTTGCATAGCCCTACTGACTGAAACACAGCATGGGCTTGGAGCAAGATCATTCCCAGTATTTCTAGCTGTTTGAGCCTAGCTGTTCTCACCACTGCAGAATGGAGTTGAGCACTCCTGCTTCTGTCATTCTTGTGTCACTTCAGAAGATGACATACAGCTTTGTTCCTTGGCACTGAATTATCCTGGCCATTACACTAGGGTCAATGACCAAGCAATAGCCATGATCAAGAACACCAGTCTATGGTCTTTTTTTTTTTTTTCCCCCTCTTCAAATCCCATATATCTTCCAATCTAAAGAAGCTGGACATAGCTCCCATGAGCCACTTCACACTAGAGAGGGGCTGTCACAGAACCAAAGACTTTCCTACTCATACAGTGACGTTATTTCAGAGCAGTATGGCAAGTTTGCAAATCTAGACTCCTCTTGAGATTATAATCCAGATTGTCATATATTTTTAAAATGAAAAGCTTCATAGACATAACAAAATGTGTTAAATTATTCCACAAAGGATTTGTTCCAAAACCTACCTTTCTAGTTTCCAACTGAGCTTCTTCTTGGCAGCACTGCCTGCAGAATGGATCCAACCGATTCAGATTGAACTGTCCAAGAAGGCTGCAAGAACTGCAGAGCAAGTTACTGGAGAAGCCCAGCTCTCTGCAAGCTTCTGATGACAACTGTGCTCCATAGGCGCTTATCTGAAAATCAATACAATGTTATACCTTAGTATTAAATTAGTTGTTTAGAAAAGGAAGGTTTAAAATGCTTCAATAACTAGGAAGAACAAAGTTCTTCTGTGACTCTTCTACAACACCACCTAATGGCCTGCTCATAAGTGCAAAACAACTTACTTTGAAGAATGGCCTTTACCTAATAGTGAAATCTAGAAACTCATTATACGTATATTTCAAGGTATCAAACCTGCCAGAATTCATTTACATACACTTCTGACAACTCTATTGTTTTCCTACTGCTAGCTCCAAATTAAGAAAAACCCAAATATAATGAAACAGCTGAAATGCACATGGCTACAGATCTCTAAAGTCTGCTCTTCCAAAGCAATTAGAGCAAATTTCGTATCACCAAAAACACACTTGGAAAATAAGTAGAAAAAGCACAACTAGGGAGTCTTGAAATGGAACAAACTGCTCAACAAGGCATCCAAGTAAGATTTTAATTTCATGTTTGCATTAATGTTACAGGAAAATTGTGTACTAAAAATGGAAGTGTAGATAAAACCCTCCAATTCTGATTTACCAGTAATACATTAAAATAGGTAACTCAATTACATGTAAAACACTGGTTCCTTTTCTGAGCAGCAAAAACAGTTTTACGAATTACCCCAGCACTTAAGTGCTTTTTGGGTTTTGTTTTCCCATTCCCCTACAAAAGGATTTAGCTTAAACCCTTTCCTTCCATCTGTATGCTTGGGTGGAGTTGGGAGATGCGAGAGTGGAAATTAAGAAAGGGGGAAAAGGAGACAGTTTACCCTGAGATGCTTCTCAGTCTGGTTGAAAAACCTTGAACAAAACCCACATCTAAACTGGTAACAAAACAATCAGCAGGCAAATCTGTGCTCAGAAAAGAGACAATACAAGCAAACAGGACTGGATGTTACCAGACCAACAGAAGAGCTGTGCTGGACCAAACAGAAAAAAACACAGAAGAAAAACTAAGTTTGTCCTTCAGCAAATCAGACTTCTCTTCACATTCACCCATCATTTAATCTTTACAGCGTACTCGAGTAAGGTAGAGACAAGCCCCATTTCCTCCCCTGAAGCAGCCAACACACTGCCAAAGGAAAAACATCTGATGTGACAGATAGGAAAAATAATAGATTAGGAATTAACATAAAAATATCAGGAGCCTCAGTTAAAGCACGAGCAGAGAAGTATAATATACAGAAAATGCTCTTTTTCTTCTTCCTACAGGACACTGCTAAAGTAATTTCTATAATTCTGTAAGTATAGAATTCTTTGTTTCTATAAACAAAAATGGGACCCTATCTTACTGAAATAATCTGTTATTTAGCCTTTCCGAGGGATACTGGCCATAAGGAATTTAACACCACCACAGTAGTATAGAAAAATCTAATGAGGATGCCAAACACTGCCAAAGCTGCACCTTAATTCTTGTTCACCGGTGTCTTGTATAACCTCATGTCTCTGGAGCTGAGGTGATTCAGAACTTTAAGGGCATCGGGTGCCCTAAAAGAGAGCTGATCTGTCAGGGAAACATCAAGGGACAGCCTGCACAGGACAATCTTCAGGTAGAAACCAAACCCAACCTACTTTCACTTTCCAAACCTATCCTTATCTTTATTGCTAAGGAAAACCAGTTCCTGGAATTTATACCAACACACAAATCCCACCAAAAACGGGCAAGGGAGCCTGTAGATTTATGCTGCGAGTAGCTGCAGCACCCACACCTCTCGCCGTTTCCCAAGCTAACAGAGTAAACCGGGGCCGAAGCGAGGGTTCAGGCTTCAAAATGGGGCTTTCGCCGTCTGGAGGAGTGCTAAGCAGCGAGAGCAGAAGGGAAGAAGCAGCAGCGGAGCACAACCGCTGCTAAACAGAACACAAGGAGCGGCCACAGAGGCAGAAAGCAGACGAAACACAAAACGATGCCTCAGGGATGGGATGGAATGGGCAGGGCAAGGCCCGCTGCCACCGCCTTCCGCTACGAGACATGTCTCACTCCTGCGCCACCCCCCTGTTACACCCTGTCTCCGTCTGGAAGCCACAGGCGCACTCAGGCCCCTAACGCACGAATAGAGCGGAACGGCCTCTCACCGCCTGCAGCCCCACCAGCAGCCAGAACCAGCACCACCCCAAGGCCGTTTTCTCCCCGGCCGCCGCCATCTTGGTGCCAAATCGCTCCTGCCAGCGTCGCCGGGAGGCCGCAGAAGGACCTCACCCCTTGGGGATGCCCGACACGCTGCCTGATACGGGAGACCGCAGCCTGCGCCTGGCACCACATGCAGAGGCAGCTAAACCAGAACACCGGTGGAAAGCCTAGAGCAAAACTGATTTAGTCTGGTCAAAACAGTACTTCACAGCGAGCCTAGAGGCGATGCCGTGCCCCAGCCTTAGTCAGACATTGCAGAAACACCCCTAAATCAAACCCTTTCCGGAGAGGTGCTGCCAACAGGCACATAAGCCCCTAACCCCGGAGACGGATAGGCGGCGTGACCAATAGTGTTGTGCCTTTGCGAGTGCTGCGGTACCTCTGCCCAATGAGCGTGGGCTGATGGGCGGGACTTCAGGAAGTGCCTCCCAATCACGAAGGGTCGCATGTAGGCGGGACATCGGCTCAACCCGGCAGCTCAGGGCTGGGGGGGGGGACGCTGAGGAGTCAGCGCGTTGTGGGCGGGGCGTCGCCTGAGAGTTGCCAATCCCGTTTCTGGAGAGGGCGGGGTGGTGACAGCACCGCCCAATGGCGGAGGGCGCGGGGGCGGGTCCCGGCGGCGGGAAGCGGCGGTGGCGAGTGTGTGGTGGGGCTTTCGGTTGCCGAGCAGCGCACGCAGGCGGGGGAGGGTCGCTAGTGGCGACGGGCGCGGGGACGGGGCAGGCGGTCGGTCGGTCGGTCCTTCAGTCGTTTGTCTGTGTTTGCCTGCCTGCGGGGCGATGTGAAGGCGGTGGCTGGCCCCCTTCCTCCCCTCAGCCGCGCTCCCTTCGCCTCCCCTCTCTCGCGCCGTCCCTGTGGTAGCGGCTCCCGCCGGCCTCCGCGGCCGGGCCCCGCGTTATGTAGTGATCCCGGTCGGGCGGCGCTGCGGCGGCGGCGGCGGCTGCTGCTGCTGCTCATGGGGCTGCTCAGGATTATGCTGCCGCCCAAGTTGCAGCTTCTGGCGGTGCTGGTGTTCGGGGTGGCCGTGCTGTTCCTGGAGAACCAGATCCAGAAGCTGGAGGAGTCCCGCGGCAAGCTGGGTGGGTGAGCGAGCGGCGGGCTGGGGGCCGGGGCAGGGCGCGGGGGAGCGCGGAGGGGCGGCTCATCCTGCTCATACCCTTCTTCATCCTCTCATGGCTCTCACCCCCTGCGGTGTGCCGCCGGCCACCGGTCCTGGCCACTTCTCCCGTGTGGCTCCTTGTGCTGCCTGCACGCCCGGAATGATAAAAGAACTGATCGATACGCTCTGGGGACTCTGCAGAAGGGGCTGCCCGCGGCAGCCTTGGCCTTTCAGTTCGTTTGTGTGTATGTTTTGCGAGATCATGGGACCTGGGAGAGGTCGATGCAGGGAAGGTAAATATTTCTGTAGTGTGTCTAAACGGGTTTTCCTGAAAGACCTGGGGTGCTCAAAGCGATCAGGAGCAGTGGCTGGCCTGCGAGTGCCCTCTGACAGGTGCCTGGGAAGAGCAGCAGTAGTGGTGCCCACAGTGAGTCTAGCTTTGCTGCAGCGAATTAGCATCTTCTTCACGTTTAATTTCTGCTCCAAACGTTTCACTAACACCCGGCATTCGAAAAGAAAGCACAGGGTAAAGTGGAAAAAAAAAAAGGCAGTTCTTAATGGCAAATGGGTAATTTGTTTTACTCAGTTTGAATGTGAGATGCTGTGTACTGAGTGTAGTTAGTGATCTCTTAACTGTCACTGAGCTATAGTTAAACAGAATAACGATGGACTTGAAAACTCTTGTGTTAGATTTCTGTGGCTTTTCCTGCCGTAAGAAGGCCTTTTTTAGAGTAACATCTGCCTGGTAAGATGTTACTACACCTTACTACTTTGTCTGGTATACATAAGGCCACAACTTGTATAGATTTGATTTTACTTAATAAAGGGTCTCAGGGGTGTGAAAAAATGCCATTCTGAACCTAACCTGTGGTGCCTAGGGTTGTAAAAACAGAGCACTGAGACTTCTGATGTATGCAAGTGCAGAAGCTGGTTTACAAGTGTTCTTGATCAGTTTTCTCATATTATTTGACTTTACTAAGGTATTTAGACTATGAACACTTCAAGTTTGTGGGAAGGAGAGTGCACATATTGTGTTTCTACTGGTGTTAAAACTGGAAGCGGTCTTTGAGTGACATGGGAAGTTTTAACTGTGAGCTTCTAACAGCCATGTCAGCCTAACTTAAGTTGAGCTGTATGATTTTACTTCTCAGCATTTCTTTTCCAGTTTGCTGTCTCTGAACCGGATATTAGAGATTAGGACCCTGCAAATAGCAGTGGTTGACTGCGTGAGTTATGGAATGCTCTCACTCTGTGTATTCTTCAACTGAAAGTTTGTATTGCTTATAATCAAGTCATAATTTTGGGGTCTCAATAACTATAAACAAAAATTTGAAGAAGAAAATGAGTGAAATTGGAAGATAATTCAAGCAGATGTTAACATAGCACTCAGGGTTCAGTGGAATTTTGTACCCATCTGTTTTAGACTGGTTGGTACCTGTGGCTTCAGTGCCTCTGTTGCTGACAGCGTTACCTTAGGGAAATCTGCCTCCTGGCATGAAAAGATTAACGTAATGCCTGTGAAAATAAAGGATTTTGCTGGTAAAACTTCCTCTTCCTCCTTAATATATATGCAGTGGGCATGATTACCTTACATATTTAGAGGATTAAAATACACAGCTCATACTGCTTTGGGACGAGAATCTAATTACTGTGTTCTGCTGATTTTATTTGTTAAGGACAAGGGAAAACTACTGTAAAGTTTATTAAAAGATTTGCTTAGTGGGCAACTTACCAGTGATTCTCTAAAACCCATGTAAGGAGAGGAAAAAAGGCTTTCTGCAAGATTTGAACTCGGGTTCTGTTTTTGAAATGTGAAAGTATGCATTGTTAAAAAGCTTCTTGCTGTCTGAATGCCTCCCTTTTTATGTGTTTGGTCTATATTTTATGACAGAAAAATCATCATGGGAAATTTTTTTACTATCAGTGGTTGGTGACATTTCTGCTGAGGCGTAATTTGGGGAATGTTATTGTCTGAATCAAAGTAATTAGTTGGCCTAATGCAGTTGAATTCCAGTCTTTCTCCTTGCCTCCCAGAAGAATGGGGAAGGGGGATGACTGTGTGTGTGAAGAGGCAGTGATACTGTGATTTGATAACAACACAGTAGTTCTTTTGGTCATTCAGTTGTGTTTCAGTTAGACACATTGCATATTGTTTGGGTACTGGGTTTTGAACTATACTATGTGTTTGCACTGATATATATCCCATGATAAACTGTCATCTTGGAAAGTAATTGTAAGAATTAGGCACTGACTAGGAATGCTGAATGTCTTCAGATTTGATAGTAATTCTGCAGTCTTATCAGCAGTTCTCATAATATTCAACCCTACTTTCTGATAGAAAGGGGTTTATTCAATCTCTTATTGAACATATGAGCAACTTCTGATACTATTGGATGGGGTTAATTTTAGTTTCAGCATCTTGAAATTTGTTGCCTGTAACATGAAATCGGATCATGTTTCTGAGTGAAAGAAAGAATGGTAACCTCTTTGTTCCTCAGAGACTTTTTATAAGTAAAACTCAGTCATCCTGGCAAACCTTTTATCTTTTTTGTAAGTAGAGAGGTACAAGAGACAGAAGCAAATGACCATCACAAATAGTGATGCTGCTTTTTTTCTTGGTGATGAGATTATTATGATCCTAATATAATTTTAACAGGCATTTGTAAACCTTTGAGTGTCTCCATCATATGAAAGATAACTTCCTAATTAAAAAAAAAATATATATTCATTGTAACTTCTTTTCCACTTTTGGACTTAAGCTCTTTACAGATAGTTTGAGTGGTGAGATCACAAGCAGAGCCTAATTGGAACCCAGTTCCAAGCACTTTTTTGTGATATTTGTACATACAGCTATTAATCTTTCATATTATTTTCAAGTTTGCATTTAAGGGCAGCTAAATTGGCATTCTGTCTAGGCTAAGCTGTCCCTAGCTTCCAGTGAAAACTTTAATGTTTTTATTTAAGCCTACTGTACTTGCTCGTTACCTCTAGGAATGCACAACCCTAATAGAGAATATCGCATGTGAAAGGCAAATGTTGAGGTTTGCACTGTCATTCCTAGAACACATTATATTCCTGGAATATAATGTTTGACCATCCCCTTTGGTTTTTGGAAGCCTAGTAGGTGCAGCTCTGCTTCTGTTTTAAACTGACCATCTCTGCCTCTGGTTTGAACGGGTCTAGCATTAAACTTGTATCATGCCATCTCCTGCATTGCCATTAGTGGTGCGCTGGCTGAAAACACTGATCCAGCTGGAAGTAATCCATCCTTCTCTTCTCTTCCCTCCCCACAATTTTGTTGGTGGGGAGAAGGAAGAGAAGAGGGAAGTTTGCATGTGTTCTAGCTTTGATGTTAAATTGATTTGATTCTACAATAGCAAGTGCTAGAGACTTAAAATTTGAGTGGAGAGATGGGGGAAGCCTGACTCATTCAAGGAAGAGTCTGCAGGACTGATCAGAGAAGGTGAGGTTAGTAGATGGGGAAGGATTGCTCTTTGGTGGGGTGGAAGTGAAGCAATACTGCTACTTTCTAGCTTTTTAGTGATACTTATGTATTGGATTTTGAAAATAGTCCATGTCTGAATAATGTAATATACTATAACTGGGAGAGCAAGGATTGAACAACTTTATTACTGTTTCAGATGATTGCTTCAGAAACACTGGTTAGCTGTACTATGGGAGCATTTCTTCTGCTAAGTGATAAACTTACAGCTCATGGTGTTAATTCAGCACCTTGAATCCTGCATTTTTTTTTTTAGGTGGTTTCCTAGCACGTGTGGCCCTTGCTGGGGTAGTATTCTCCTAAGCACTGTGCAGGTACCTAACAAACCACTGTTCCTTTAAAGTTAAATGATTCAATTTTCCAGTGATTAAATCTTATGCTTTCTAGAAATACAAGAGTTTGTGCTGTTTTGAAATGTTGAAATAATAGGCATCTTATGTTTCTTTCATTTAGAAAAGGAATAAAAATCTCCTGCCAGTTGCATGTGTTTGGCAAACCCCTCAGAAAACTTCTTAAATTGTCCCTGTAATATGACATGCATGGTTCCTGCGTATATTATTTATACTGGAACTTCATGTATAAAGATTAGTGTGTGATCGTTGCAGTTCCCTCTGCACACAGCTATGCAAATAATATACTAGCATTTCTTTTAAAATTAGCTCTGTTGCCCAGTAGTTATTATTTTCCACTAAGTAGCCTGAGGCATTCTTTCAGAAGCTGTTTTCTTGTGTACTGACTTTCCTGAAATGAGCTTTAAGGCTGCTTCCTCAGTATATCTCCAGCCAGTTAAATGTTCTTCCACTTTGCCATGTTGGTTCTATCATACTTTTTCATTTAGTTCCCCCTTCCCATTCCCCTTCACCATGCCCCAGTCATGCCAGACACTTTCAGAATATATTTGAAATGACTTCCATACTACACTTCTACTTCCCATTGAAAAGTGTGACATAGAGGAAGTGCATGAATTTTATCTTGTGTATTTATTATGTTGATTTTTGTATTTATAACTTTTTTTGGAATAAGTGTTGCGGCTGCTGCTGTTGTATTTTCCATGAAATTGCTAATGTTGGAATTTTGACTAATACAAAACTGTGTATGTTCCCAAGAACATACCAAGCAGTTCAGACTTGCTAATGGGCTCTGAGGCTCGATCTCACTCCTTTCCGCTGGCACTCCAACATTGGTTTCTAACAGTGGAATTAAAAGGCACAACTTGTTAGACTTTCTTTTCTCTTCTGGAAGGCTACATAGAAGTAATATTAGTGGTGTTGTACCTAGTTTGCAGGTCTCATGCTTTTAGTGAAATAGGGTTGAGAATGAGTGATGTGGTGAGAGCTGTGCCTTTGTTTCTAGTCACAGATGCTGTTCTTAACAGTTACCTGGCAAGGGTCTGGTTTTTGTTAGAAATGTTTCAAGGCACTTCTGAGAGATGAAATAGAGTTGAGAAATCAGATAAAGTGTAGGTCTCCAGTGCCTGC